GCTCAAATTAGACCCCCCCCCCGAATGTGACCCCCCCACTTTGCTATGGAATCCGGAGTAGTCGATCCTCTACCCGACAAACGTAACGCTCCCCCCCTCATTGCGCCCCCGGCACTGCCACAGTGCGTCTGGCACCGCAGTCTGGGGGAGGGGGGGCTATGTCATGCCCCCTGCCATCCCCCCCTCCCCCATAACGCCCGTGACAGAGGAAACCCATGCCAACCAAACACGCTGCTTGCCTCCAGTGTTCCCTGGGTTTCTTGGGTTTCGATCGTTTTGCTAATGATGGTCAGCGTGACGTCCCACGCCAAAAATCAACGGACGTGCGGGGTCTCAGGGTTGGGTTTCTCGTGGAAGGTTTCTCGTGGTCGAGCTCCTGCTGGAGTCACCACCCCCTGCTCCTTCTCCTCCTCCTTCGCCTCCTCCCCCTGCTCCTCCCACCTCCCACCTCCTCCTCCTCCTCCTCCTCCTCCTCCTCCTCCTCCTCCTCCTCCTCCTCCCATGGCCCCGCGAACAAGAAAAATGCGCTCCAGCACCCGGTGACCCTGGCGTGCATGAGCTGCCTGGCCGACGTGCTGCAGCGCCAGGGGCAGTACACGGAGGCGCCCCCCGGGGGAGGGCCCCCCCCCTCGACGGGCCCGCGCCGCGCCGCGGGCCCCGTGGCGCGGGCGCTCGGGCCGGGCCGCCGCCACGGGCCCGCCGCGCACGGCCCGCCAAGCTGAAGTCGGGCCTGTCCCTCTACGGGGGGACCGTTCGGAAATTAAAAAAAAGATAGCCTGGGGACTATTTTTTGGCCACGATTTCCTTGGACTGGTTTGGAGTAGTTTTGTTTTGGGTGTGTTCCGTCTTTCCCCTAAAATCCCCCCTGTAGGGGGACAGGCCCGACTCAACACCAAGCCGCCCCGACCTGGCCTGAAGGCCCCGATTCAGGAGCGAAAGAAGGACGTACACGTACACGAGTCCACGCTGGTTTCGAGAGTACGCACTGCCCTAAGGTTCGTGTCACGCGGCCACTCTCGAGGATCGAGGGGCCGTGTTCATGTACATCATTAGCTGAGCGCGTGCGTCCTTTGTGGGCTCCCTACCGATTTGCCCCCCGTTTCCAAAACACATGAGGCCCGTACCCCCCCCCCAACCCGAAGTTCGGGCGAAATTCGGGTCCTCGGATTCGGTCAGGGTGGTCTGCTAGGTAGTCACTGGTCGGGGGAGGAGGACGCAGGACTCCAACGTATCCCAACATACAATAGGTGATAAGGGGATCGATTACAGACTTTGTTTACCCCAGAATTGGTTTCTCGTCGAATCTACGAAGAGATACGTAGATGTTGTTCGGTCAATGGAACAATCTTTGCATGTTGTTGTAGATTCGACTGACAACAAATTCTGGGAGAAAGTCAAATGGCAGGTCGTCGTCTTCTGATTCCTTGTTTTGCCGATCGGCGCGGGCCCTCGCAGCCCCCTCCCCCCATGGAGTAGATCTTGAGTGTTTTGGGCGCCTGTTTCGAGCAGGTGGAGTCCCCCCCATAGGACGCACTGCTGCAAATAGCCGTCTTAAGCAGAGATCTGGAGCCAGACCCCCCCCCCTCCAGGAGGAGGAGGGGGAGGAGGGGGAGCAGGAGGGGGAGGGGGGGGAGGAGGAGGAGGGGAGAGGAGGGGAGGAGGAGGAGGGGGGAGGAGGAGGAGGAGGAGGGAGGAGGAGGAGGAGGAGAGGGAGGAGGAGGAGGGGGAGGAGGGGGAGGAGGGGGGAGGGGGAGGAGGGGAGGGAGGACCCCCCCTCCGCCCCCTGCCGAGACGCCGCAGCAGCGAACACGCCCACCAGGCCGTGCCACGCCCTCGGCCTCCCATGTGGGGGCCCTCGCGGGGCCCCCGGACCGTCGAAGGCCGGCTATACACCTTAGGCGACGCTTAAGAAAACCTAAGTTTTCGTCCAGAGTCTCGATTATTCTTAATTTTTCAATATAACTCCCAGGATTTTGATAGAAGTTCTGGGTTTTATTCCATTTCTGAGACCATGAATTTCTTAACCCATGATTTCTTAAGCATTTCGCAGGGTGTAGGGAGGAGCAGCCGCGGCCTGGGGGAGAGGGTCGGAGCTCGGGGGGCCGCGCGTGGACGGCAAGAGCAGCAGCAACAGCAGCAACATCAACGGTAACAGCGACGCCACCACCACCAGCAACAAACACACACAACGACACCAACAATGCCAGCAGCAACACCAGCAGCAACACCACCACCACAACCAACAGCAGCAACAACAACACCAAGCTCAACGACACCACCGCCAGCAGCGGCAGCGGCAGCAACAGCATCGGCGGCAACAAGAGCAATCGATTTCAGATTGTTCGCTCCTATCTGCCCCGTGCTCGCAGGTCGGGAGGGCGGGCCCAGGCGACCAGGTCGAGCAGGCGGGTTGCTGAAGCGTGGGTCCTGCATGAATCGCGATGATGTCTCGTGCGATAGCGCGATTCCCAAGTAAATAAGAAAAGCTAGAACGAGAGCGTGATTCCTGAGCGCCGACGGCGCATCGTCTGAATAAACCGCGAGGAAGTCCCACGCGAGAGCGCAATTCGTACAACAATTGTGAGGACGTCCCGGGCGAGAGCGCAATTTGGGAATACCTTCCCAACTTGCTGCTGTTGTTCTGTAAACCGGGGGCCAGGGGCACCGTTTGAGCCCCGTGACCTTCCCTGAGGGGGAGCCCCGGGGGAAGCACTTCAATTGGGAAATACTCTGGTCACCGGGGGGGGGGGGAGATCAACCATTTTTACTTTTCAGTAATGACAGTTTAACAATAACAGCACCAACATTATCAACAACAATAACACATCGGATCCCTGGGAAAACGCCGACACCGCTGCTCGTGCTCGAGAGCCCTCGTCGCCTCGGCTGGGGTTTCCACGGATGTCCTGGTCAGAACGCGCCCCGGGGAGAGGTCCTGGGAGTACAGTAGGAGCTCGACCACAGGAAGCCTTCCACACGAAACCCAAAACTGGGACCCCAGGACGTCCAATGACTTCTTGCGTAGGAGCGTCACGCTTTCCATACTTGGCAAGACCATCGATACCCAAGAAGCACAGGGCACCCTGGAGGCAAACAAGGTGTTCTTGGCATGGGTTTCTGCCGTAGCGGCATCGGTACCGCGTGGCTTTTCTGACAGGAGCCGCGGGCGTCCAGGGTGACGCCCGGATCACCCGACCTTGTCGGCTGCGCAGGTGTGCAGGAGCTGCAGTCGAGGCGTTGAAGGAAGGACCACTGTCGCAGGCCTAGAGGTTGACACCAACACCAATATCGGTGGTGTGCCTCCACCGAAGGAAGAAGATCCTAATTTCGGTGATGGTGGTCATATTCTGGCTTCCAAGGTGGCCGAAATTTTACCACCAACACCGAAACCTAGGATCATCTCCCCCTGTGGAGGCAGCCCCCTGCGTTGGTGTTGGTGCCCGTTTCCAGGCCTCCAACACTTCCGTTTCCGGGCCTGCCCCTCTACAGGAGGAATGCTCAAGAATAGTCAACACAAATGGTCGGGGGACGAATTCTTTGATCATTGCTGACCAGTTGGAGCATCCCGGGGGTATTCTGCAATTTTTCGTCCAACATCCTCTTGTAGGGGGAGACAGGCCCGACCTCAGTCGAGGCGCCGAGAGAAGGACCCTCTCGGGCTCCGGCGGGGCTCCGGGTTGGCGGGGGCCGCTCCTCGGACCTGTGGGTCGGGGAACCCGTGCTTTTCCCTTGGCCCGGCCCCCGCCGTGGCCGGACACGCCGTGGCCCCGTCGTTGCCGCTCGGCCTCGGAGGCTGACAGACCGCCTACCCCAGATTTCGTAATAAAAGGGAGGGGGTCTGGACCCTCCAAGACGAGCCATTTCAGACCCCCCCCCGTGGGAGAACCCTCCAAAACATCGTCCCCAGACCCCCCAGGCCCTCCAAGATAGCCTGGAAGAGCCCCCCCCTGAAATGAGACCCGCCTCCCTTTATTCGTAAGGGCTTCGCCCCCTGCCGCCGACCCCCTCCCTCGGAGAATGCGCTATGCGAGGGCGATGTCATAAGGCCTTAGCGCCGTCGTGAAGCAGTATTGGAACTTCATACGATGCCGATTCGTAATCGGCAAAACCAAATACCAGAGAGGTTACCACATCTGGCGCTTGGTAAGGCGTGTAGGGCTCACGGGCATGGTTACCACTCCTTGCGATTAAAGGGGCGAGTGAGTTCTCGCAGTTGGGTTCGCACGCTTTGCACTTGGAGAAACGCGCAAGTTGCCTGGGTGGGGTTACCACGCCTTGCTATTAGGGCGCTGGACCTGGTTATCTGCACGAACAGCACTACGACATTTCAAATGTGAAGCTAATTCTTTTGGTTTTCGGGCCCAGGCCCCGCTGATCTGCGTGAGGGGTGCCACCGAATTTCAGAAATGTGGCAAAACCCATTATGTTTTTGGACCCTGACCCTACGGATCTGTGTGAGGGGTGCCGCCGAATTTCAGAAATGTTTCAAATCCTTTGCGTTTTTGGACCCTGTCCCTACGGATCTTCATGAGGGGAGCCACCGAATTTCAGAAATGTCGCAAAACCCATGATGTTTTTGGACCCTGACCGTACGGATTTGCGTGAGGGTTGCCGCCGATTTTCAGAAATGTTTGAAACCTTTTGTGTTTTTTTGACCCTGAACCTACGGATCTCTGTGAGGGGAGCCACCGAATTTCAGAAATGTGGCAAATCCATACGTGTGTTTTTGGACCCTGACCCTACGGATCTTGGTGAGGGGCGCCTCCGAATTTCAGAAATATGACAAATCCCATGTGTTTGTGGATTTTGACTGCACAAATCTGCGTGAGGGGTGCCACCGAATTTCAGAAACGTGTCAAATCCCTTGTGTTTTTGGACCCTGCCCCCGCCGATCTGTTTGAGGGATGTCAGTTTCCACCCTCCCAGAGATTCAGGCAACGTGCTCAGGGTGTGCTAACCAAGACCCTTTTCGGCCCCCACCCTCACGCGGTCATTAACAAAGAACAGAAAACAGCAAGAGCCCAAACTGTAACATTGGAAATTTGAAACTGCGACTGGCGCAGGGAACCGCAAACCCTAGTCCTACAGCCTGGTTGCCCCACAAGGGGGCCGGCGGAGAAGAGTCAGGAGCCGAGTGGTCACTCATTGTCTTTGGGTGCGTGTGCGAAGTGAGAATCCACAACGCTGATTGTTGTTGCCATTGGTGAAATCGTATTTCTGAAGATAATGTATTGATAACCCCCCCTGTAGTGCGAGTGTGCGTATGTTTCTCCATTGAAGTGTCCCTCATGGGGTTGACATGCAGGCTTGTATCAGGGGAAACTTGTAGCCCGAGTTTTATGTGTTGCACTCTGCATCACAACATCAACGGCGCCGGCCTCATGCGTAGGTCAAATTGGACTAGTAGAGCCCGCTCGTGCTCGAGGCTCCCTGGCATTCTTGAAGCCACGAGCTCTCGCCTGAGACTGTTTCTTCTAGTTGTCCTGAGGCGCTGCGGTCTCGACGCTCAGGAGTCGCGCTCTCGCCGTCGACTTCCGAGCCATTCACTCAGGAAGCGTGTTCTCGGCTGGAGTTTCCTCAACAGTTTTATGGAAGATTCGCG